CGCCCTTCCTGCTGCGGGCCCTGCGCATCGCCGTGGTGGTCTGCCTCTACTGGTTCACCTCCATCGCCATGGTCTTCCTCAACAAGTACCTGCTGGACAGCCCCTCGCTGCGCCTCGACGCCCCCCTCTTCGTCACCTTCTTCCAGTGCGCCCTGACGGCCGCCCTCTGCCTGGGCCTCAGCCTGGGGGCGGCCTGCGGACCCCCCTGCCCCGGCCTGCCTGCCCTCCGCCTCGACCCCAAGGTGTCCCGCAGCGTCCTGCCCCTCTCCGCCGTCTTCATTGGCATGGTCACCTCCAACAACCTCTGCCTCAAGCATGTCGGCGTGGCCTTCTACAATGTGGGGCGCTCCCTCACCACCGTCTTCAATGTGCTGCTCTCCTACCTGCTCCTCAAGCAGACCACCTCCCTCTACGCCCTCCTGGCCTGCGGAGTCATCATAGGTGAGGGGGAGCGGGAGGGGGCTGCCCCATAACCCCGGAGGGCCGGAGGTGGGGTGTCTGTCCCGTGGGAAACCATCTCTGCCTGCACGGCGGCTCCCTGGCAAGGTGGGGTCGCTCAGGGCTATTGCCTTGCTCTGCCGTGAGCAACCCGCTTCGTCTGTCTGGAGTACGTAGGTAACTTATTAAGAAAGGAAATTACCCTTACTTGACCACGGCTCCCTTTTTCCTTTGAGCACTAAAACCTGTCTGCTCTCTAATGAAGTTTAACTTGCCATACCTTTTTTTTTCTTTTCCCCCTACAAAGGCCATAAACCAGCAGGTGGCTTTGTCCCTGTTCTCAAGTGTTTGTTGATTATTAACTTTGGTAACAATAACAGTATTTATGTCAGCACCATTGGGACCATACAATGGAGCCAGCCAATTCAGACAGGCTGAATGCATGGGATGAAGGGTTAGCTGATCAAGGCGAGTGTAAAACACCACCAGAAGATCTGGTTGTGTGGTTAGTATGTAGGGCAGGGCATTGACTGGGTTAACGGGAATTGCTTACAAGTCTTTCGTTCCAAAGGCTGCCTTCCACTGGAGGGCCAGTTAGATGCCAAGAATGGTGAAATGTTGACTTCAGTCTGGTTCCAGGTGGACATGTGTTCACTTTGGTGCTTAGACAAGCAGATGGACCCAGATGAAAATGAGACAAGAGATTCTCCTCTCCATAGAAGAGGTGAACAGGAACAGAACTACTGTTTTTTCCACCCAAGTGATGCAAGCAATTGCCTTCAGTTAGTCTTGTGGTCAGATATTGCCCAGGACTGTGGCGTCTGCCAGCCTTGCAGGGTTTCTCCGAGACTCTATCCCCCTGGCTCGCATCTCCTTTTGCTGTGGGAGCATTGCCCATATGCCTATAGCAGCGTGGCTGAGCATCTTCTGTGGCCTGACGCAAAGTCTTTCCTGTCTATGCATTGAACCCATTTGTATTTGGGCTTAGTTTAAAGCACGTTAGCTGCTTTGCAGGCAGCTTCCCAGACGGCCTCCAACATGATGAAGCAGCTAATGGAGAGGCGGTGCAGTGCTCCTTCGGTAGCTCGTCTCCCCTTTTATGTTTTGCTTATGAGCAGGATGGGGAGAGGTCTCCCTCTCTGCCCTGGAGACACAAAGCCTGTAGCTCCTGTTTTGGAGGTGGTTAAAGAGTGCATTACCCATCAAAGAAGCTTAAGATGTTGAAGATGCTGCACTCAGTTTCTGCTTTGTGATCTTTTTTTGATCAAGCTTCTTAATATCACATGCACGTGTTTACTATCTTTCCATCTTCTTTTAACATATCTTTCCCTTCCTCTTAACAGCGCAGCAAAGCCTGAGGCCTTTTTTTTTTTTTTTTTTTTAAAAACCTTGAGGAATATTTCTTGCTACCTGTGTGTCAGTTTCCTGCCTTTTCAATTAAAAAAAAAAATCACATGATCTCCTGAAAATGACCTATACAAAAAGAGTAGCTTTAGCTTTAGTTCATGGCTCTTTGGAATAATAGTTTCTAAACTCATGCTGCCTGCTCAGTGTGGGAATCGGTCCTCTGAGATTGAATGATAGCACCGTAAATTACCTGCACTCCCAAAATAAATCTTACCAGGGCACTAGTCAGGACACTTTGTGGGTTCACTTAATAGAAAGGGGAAGCCCTTAAGCCTGTCTCTGCTTGTGGTTGTGGTTGTTCAGTATAAGATAGATGATGAATTGCTGACTGTATGTTTTGAGTCCTTCAGCAGTTGTTCAGATGATGTCTGATTTGTTTGGTTGCAGGTGGCTTCTGGCTGGGTGTTGACCAGGAAGGAGCAGAGGGCACTCTGTCATGGCCAGGTATAGTCTTTGGGATCTTAGCAAGCCTGTGTGTCTCGCTCAATGCCATCTACACGAAGAAGGTGCTGCCGGTGGTGGATGGTAGCATCTGGCGCCTGACCTTCTACAACAACGTCAATGCTTGTGTCCTGTTCTTCCCTCTCATGATGCTGCTGGGCGAGTTCCGTACCCTCTACCACTTTGACAAGCTGGGAAGCCCCAGTTTTTGGGGCATGATGACCCTGGGGGGAGTGTTTGGCTTTGCCATTGGGTATGTGACCGGACTTCAGATTAAGTTCACTAGCCCACTCACCCACAATGTGTCTGGGACAGCCAAGGCCTGTGCCCAAACAGTGCTGGCTGTTATCTACTTTGAGGAGACAAAGAGCCTCTTGTGGTGGACGAGTAACTTGATGGTTCTGGGCGGCTCCTTCGCCTACACGTGGGTGAAAGGGCTGGAGATGAGAAAGGTGCAAGAGGATCCTAATGTCAAAAGCAGCGAAAGAAACGAGACTGGTGTGTAGGCAGCTCCTGCACCTCCATTTCTGTGCCCGGGGAGTTAACCTTCAGTGCTCCTTTCCTCCTGGGGAGAAGAAGAGCAAGGAGCAGGAAAGAATTCACCTGCAAAGTATATGGGGAACTGTGTCAGGAACTAGAGCCAAAGACCTGACTGGATCATGTTTTATCCACAGGATCTCACCCTGTATCAGAGTTGGGGAGAGCATGTGTTGTAGAGAGCAATCAGGTTTTTTTTGTGATTGTTTTTTAAAATGGATGTTGATATTGACCTAATCTGGGCAATTTGCATCTCTGGGGGGGTGGGCTCGTAGCAGACAAAGACCGGGATGGGAGCTTTGTGTACTTGGGGATCTACAGTTAACTGAATGAGCGCAGTCTGAAGTTATAAAATCCTAAACCTCCATGTAAGGAAGAAGCAGGTAGCCAGACTGTTGGGGATAGACTGCAGTAAACTGTTCTGCTGTAAAAGGATTGGCAACTGCCGTTCTTCCTGTTGCCCCATGCAATGCGAGGGATGGGAAATTCCCTCCCTTCTGGTTCTGTAGAAGCCTAAGCAGCAGCAGGGCCTCCAGATCTCCTTTCCAAAGAGTCAGTATCACATCCTGCTGAGGTCTCTTCTGCGTTTCTCTCCACCTGGTTTCTTAGTTCGGGAAATCATGCTAAGGAGCGGGAATGAAACTTCTCATTCCCTCCGCACTGTGTCCTGTGAGGGAGAGCATGCTCTCTCCAGTGGCCTTTCTCAGGGAGGAGTGAGCTTGGCCTCTGCCTCTGTCGGGGACAGGCAGGAGGGGAAAAGTTACTCTGAAGCACTTGCTTCTGTAGGGTGGAGATCCCAGTTCACCGGGTTCACAATACTTGTCCTCTTTACCCTCTGTGTAGGGGGTAGGTTTCTGTTTGAAAATGGGGTTCTTGCTAATTAGGCTTGTTTCGGAGGACTTGTTCCATGCCTACTTTGGATCTCCTCTGGTGTTTGGAGTTTGTCTTTTGGCCCGTTCTTTTTAAACACCCCCCGTAGCCAGCTCAATGAATTCTTCACCCCCAAAAATCCTGGTTCTGCTCAGCTGCATCAATCCCTTTCCTTGAAACTTGCTGCTGAACAGTTAGTCCTGCAGAAATCTCTGCCCCTCCGTCTGGCCTCATGCAGGTGCCACCCAAGGTGATTTTTGATCCCAGGGGTCAGCTGCAACATCCTATAGTCAGCTGTCATGCTGCACCGGCTTTCTAAACCCCTGCCCCCTTTATATTTAACGGGTTATTTGAACAAGGGTGTGGGGCAGTTGGTGTGACTGCTTCGTGCCCTGCTCCTTGGATCCTCCACGATATAGCCAGCCCCCGTGCGTGATGTCTGGCCGCTCCTACGGAAGGACACTCCATTTCTGCCCGGAATATGTTCCTGTCTAATTTTGGGGGCGCTCCTGCTCCAGGTTTCATGACCACAGGTACCTTCTTTTGGGTGCAGGGTGCCATTTGGGGTCCTGGAATTATTTTTTTTTATTTTTTTTTTTTTTTACGGGAACTGACGTTTTTAATGTCGCACGTACTGACTTGTAACGGCCAAATCTGCTGAATAAAGTCGGGGGGTCGCTTTCCGGGTCTGATGAGGGG